CCAGGCTTAGCCTGCCTTCTCCTCAGATTGTGTAGCGCTTTCAAGACAGGGTTTTGTCTTGAAGTCATCAAGTTTCCCTAGGCTGGGCTCAAACTTGTGAACCTCAGCCTCTCAGAGTAGTGGACATTGCAATCATATGCCACTGTGCCTGGTTCATATTGCCAGCACTCTACAATGATTGCTAATTGATTAATATGCTTATATGCAAAGGTGATCCGGGATCTGAAACAAAGATTAAGGATAATAAGAGAGAGCTACAGTATCCTCTGGAAACATTAGCCAGAGAAATTAGAAAACAGAGAGAAATAAAAGGAATAAGAATTGGAAAGAAAGTTGAGAAATTATCACTCTACATTGAAGACTCAAAGATTTCTAGATTTAATAGACAAATTCAGTAGCAAAGCTGGATACAAACTCAAAGCTTAAAAATCAGTAGCATTTTTGTACAAAAACAAACACATCAAGAGAGAAATTAGAAAAACCATGTCTTTCACAATAATGTAAAAAAATTAAATGCTTAGGAGTCAATCTAACAAAGGAAGTAAAAAGATCTACACAGTGAAAATTACAGTACTCTGAAAAAAGAGATCAAAGAAGATTTAAGAAAATGGAAAGATATTCCTTGCTCCTGGATAGGAAGAACCAAAACAGTAAAAATGGTCTTACTCCCAAAATTGTTATCCAGATTCAATGTGATCTCAATTAAAATATCATTGGCATACATCACAGGTCTAAAGAAAACATTCCTAAACTTCATCTGGAACCAAAGTGACTTAGAGTATCAATAGAATCCCGGGCAACAAAGGAAAGGCAGGAAGCATGACAATCCCTGACTTGAAATTATACCTTGAAGCTACTGTGATAAAGTAAGCATGTTATTGAAAAAAATAAAACAGACCTGAGGATCAGTGCAACAGATTAAAAGATGCAGGTGCAACTACAAATACACTTGGCCACCCTATCTTTAACAAATGAGTGAAACATGTTCACAGGAAGAAAGATAACCTCATTAATAAATAGCGTTGAAAAAACTGCCTTTTCACATGCCGAAGCCTAAAATTAGATACATGTCTTTCACCGTACACTAAAGTCAAAATGGTTCAAGCATTTAAATATAAAAACATAAACACTAAATCTACTGAAACAAAGTAGGTACAAGTCTTGAAAACATTGGGATAGGCAGAGAGTTCATGAACAAAAACTGAATCTCACAGGAAATACTTCAAAGAATGGACGACTGGATCTCACCTTATTGAAATTCTTTTTCATGTCAAAAGAAATCACCAACAAAGTAAAAAGAAAGCCTATGAATTGAGAAAGAATTTTACCTGACTGTCCCTCAGACAAAGAACTTCTATCTATCTAGAAAATACAAAGAATTTAAATTCAGGCCTCCAAAATTCAAAGTGCCAATCAAAAAATGATTATCTGTGATGAATATAGTTTTCAGATGAAGAAATAAAAGAGCAATTAAATATATGAAAAAAATCATAAACATGGAATTTTAACTGTAATATTGATTTATATCTCCTATATTACTTATGATATGAAATATTACAACCAATTTTATTATTTATGCTTTTGTGAAATTATTGCTGATATATTTTCCCTGTGTCATGTAAGTTAGCTGCATCTGCAATAGAAACAAATTTGGAGTTCAGTACAAAATTACATACCCATCAAAAAATGCTTTATGGAAATTAAAATTATAGTACAAAATACAAGTTAACAAATATTTTCATAATACATAGTCATTAGAATTACTGTATAAACTGAAGTTTATATATTCTTCATTTTACTATATTTATATATACATATTTTTTCACATAGTTGATGCACTTTGCAATTTTTGAAATCTATTCTACCATGATCTAAATAATTTTATATTATTCCACATGAGGTCTTATGCATTTTTTGCTGAATTATTCCTATATTTTTATAATACCTGATACTTACAAATGGTATAATTTTAAAATTAAGTGTAGAACTAACTTGTTGTTATTGCATTGACTGTGACAAGTGATTTTTATTTATTTACACAGAAATCTGGTTTTCTTCTTAAACTTGTTTTTAAGTTGTCTTGTATAAATTTTCTCCTACAATTGTTTCCTCTACATTTAATTTCTCTTTTTATATTCATTTATTTATTTGTTTAGTTATTTGCTCCTGTCCCAGCCCTGGAGAGGCTAGGATTACAGGTATGCACCACCATGCCAGGTTTGGGGGCTGGCAGGGCATGTGGTACCGGGAATAGAACCTGGGTCTTTGTGCTTGCCAGGCAGGTGGTTAGATTACTGAGCTATCTTCCCAGTCCCTACTTTTAATTTCTATTCATCATATGACACTTGCTAAATTTCTGGTAGAATGCTGAAATCCATTAGGAATAGTGGCAATTTTGTCTTTTTTTGAAATTCTAAATAAAATGCTTTTTATATTTATCTGTTTTGAAAGTATGTTCATTCAGTTTACATTATTTTTATCAGTTTAAAGAAGATTAATATTTTCAAGTTTAGCATGAAAATTTATAAAAGAATAAAAATAAAATTATAAAATTTGTCAACAGTTCTTGGAATAGCTTCAAGGATAGTGTTTGTAAAATGCCTTTATGAATTATTATGATGAATGTGACTAGGGACTTTCTTTCTTTCTTTTTTTTTTTTTTTTTTGCAGTACCAGGGATCAAACTCAGGACCTTATGCTTGCCAGGCAGGCACTTATGCCACTGAGCTGTATCCCTGACCCAGGACTTTCTAATATTAAATCAGCAATGTCTATCTGGTAAAACATTAATTTAACTAAAAGATTTTCAAAATTTAATTCTCATAAAGCATAATAAACCTAGCAATCAACAATAATAAAATGAAATTATCTTTGTAAATCAGCTATATTGAAATTAGAAACAAAATTTAAATAATTCATGGGTAAAAGAATATTAGAATTACAATAAATTATTTGTAACATGAAAATATAAAGAAGCAGTAAATGCTATTCAAAGATTTTAAGCTTAATTTAATAAAATAAAAAAGGAAAATATTGTACCTAAGCATTCAACATATGAATTTACAACAAGAAATCTAAAAAGAAACAGAAGATCTTCAGAAAATAGTGGCCATGAAGATAGTTCAGTGGAATAAGTGCTTGTCTGGCAAGCACAAGCTCCTGAGTGTGATCCCTAGTACCACCAAAAGAAAAAGAAAACAAAAGGTCCTCAGAAAATAAATGAGAACACTGGATGGATAGGCAAACATACAAGCAGAAATTGGATTAATAAATTTAATACAGAAAGGCAAGTGATTTTTATATATTAACTCAGTGTAATGCTTTGTGTTCAATTTTGAATAAAATTAAGCAAAATAGAAAACTTAGACATCACAACCATAACACACTTCAAAAATAATATGAAATACAAATTATATAAAGTCAAACTCTTGGCAAGTCTAATTAAGGAACAAAACGAGGATACTGAGGGTCACTGTGAGTCTGAGCTATGTAGCAAGAACTTGTACCAAATAAACAATAAATAAATAAATAATTTTTAAAAAATATAGTGTACACAACCACATACATTAAATAAATGAAATTATCATAGTAAGACATTTTACAGAACTTAGAACAATAATTTTTCAAATTTAGAAGAAAAATTTGCAATCATATATGATCCATAAGAATGATGTAAGAATAAAAATAGAAACTAGATAAGCATAAATAATACTGATCATTAAGTATTAAAAATTTCATTTTAAAATGTATTAATTTATTTAAATATTTATTCGTTTTTACTTTTTTTTTGAGGGGGGGTACCAGGAATGGGACTCATAAACTTACGTTTGCCAAGCAAGAGCTTAAGTCATTGAGTTATCTCCCTAGCTCCCTCATTTTTACTTTTTATTATTATTTTTTTCCATTTGTGTATTTGATACAGGGTCTCAGTACACAGATCCGGATTCACAGCGATCCTCCAGTTTTCAGCCTCCCCAGCCCTGGGATTTCAGGCGTGTGCTACGACACCTGGACTCTGTCACTGCTCAGCGCGCCCTGGGGGTGGGGCCGGCACGGCTTGTGGGACCTGCAATAGAACCCTGGTCCCTAAGCTTGCAAAAGCAGGCGCTTAGTCTGCTGAGCTTTTGCACCAGTCCTCATTTTTACTTCTTGATGTAACGATTTTTTGGATTATTTAATAATACCACCAATGGATGGTACCCTTTTTTTTCTGCAACTGTTTCATAAAGCCAGTAGTTACGTTACCCATTAGCTGGGGATAAATCTCGGTGGCACAAGCACCAGTATGTAAAGCACAAGATCCTCAATTCAATTCCTAGTACTTCCCCAAAAAAGTTTCATTATCTTAGCTTTTCCAACTCTCACTTGCTAACATCAAACAATGGCAAATTTGATGATCAAAAACACAGAACAAGCACTAGTGTCTCTGTTTCCTTCTCCATCTCAACAGATGGATGAAAATGTAGATATTCATATATACGTAATTACACATATTTTGTTAACCCATCTAATAAGTAATTAAGTGGAAAATAGTATATATTGGTTTCATATCATCTAAAACTAATTAATACCAAATTATCACACCAAAATATTTATGTAGAAATGTAAAAACCATTGATTTCAAAACTTATTTTAAAATTTAAGAATGGTTTAAAAATAGAAATGAACTTTAATCAACTAGATATTTACATGGTTTTCATCAAAAAAATATTTCATACTTCAGTGGACTAAGTGCTTGCTGGGTAAGTGCAGAGGCCAGGGTTCAATCCCTAGCACCACATGCCGCACCGACCCTGTCTCCGGATGCTCTGAGCCGGCGAATGGAGTGCAGGCATTGTGGTGCACACTTGTAATACCAGAACTAGGGAGGCAAGAAACAAGAGGATTACTACGAGTCCGAACTGCATAGTGAGACTCTGAACACACACAAAAAAACTTTAAAAAAAATATTTCATGCTAAATTCCTGCTACTATTGCTTTACTGACAGGTGTAGCATCAGTCAATGAAAAGGTATTTTTCTCAACAATAGCCTTTTCAAAGCATTTTTCACCTCCCTATTTCTTAGACTATAAATCAGAGGATTCAACATAGGAATAATAAGAGTGTAGAACACAGCTACAACCTTGCTTTGCTCTGGTGAGGAGATAGCCCCAGGTTGGGCATACATGAAGAACACAGTTCCGTAGAATAAACTCACCACTATGATGTGAGAGCTGCAAGTGGAGAAGGTCTTACTCCTGCCATGGGTCGAGGGAATCTTCAGGACGGTGGAGAGAATGTATGCATAAGAAACTAGAATGACAGTTGTGGTGGTGACGATAATGAGGGAAGAGAGAATAAAAAGCACAATCTCATTCACAAAGGTATCCACACATGCAATTTTGATCAGGGCTGGGACATCACAGAAAAAATGATCCAATCTGTTTTCCCCACAAAAATGCAAACTGAAGGTGAAGCCTGTTTGGATCATGGAATTGATGCATCCACAGACGTAGGAGCCAATCACCAAGCGAAAACAAGCCTGCTGAGACATACGCACCGTGTAGAGGAGAGGGGAGCAGATGGCCGAGAAGCGATCATATGCCATCACGGCCAGTAGAAAGCCTTCAGTCCCAACAAAAAGAGCGAAGAAAAAGAACTGTATTGCACATCCATTGTAAGAAATTTTCTTCTTCTTGGACAAGAAAGTAGCCAGAGTTTTGGGTGCAATGACTGTAGAGTAGCAAAGATCTAAGTAGGACAAATTTTGGAGAAAGAAATACATAGGTGTTTGAAGTCTAGAGTCTGTCTTAATGACAATTAACATGCTGATATTTCCCAATAAAATGACCATATAGATAAGCAAGAAAAGCAAGAATAAGAAAACCTGTACTTCTGAAGATGTCCTGAACCCCAGCAGAATAAACTCTGTCAAATCTGAGTAATTCCTATTCATTTTACTCCTCATTGCCGATACCTAATTGAGAAAGTGAATATATTATCAAGGATCCTATAAGTAGCCTTAGCCAATTTTGGCTATTGAAATTAATATTAAACAAACATGCCAACATAAATTGAGCTTACCTCAGTAGCATATTGTACAAAAACCCCTTTACATTTGGAAGCTCCCAATGTACAACCAATGTGAGTTTGCTTAGTTTAGTTTTACTATAGTTTCAATATAATATGAGAAATATAGATGGGCCAGGGATACTTCTGATTGTGACATAGTCAGTCATTTTATATCACCCATTAAGCTTTGAGGCAGACGAACCAAATATATGGTTTACCTTATTTACTTGGAAAGAATATTTAACTACCTACATCATTCATGCATCAAAAATCCTCCTTTTGCAAATGAAGTACTAAAAATAACTACTACAAAGAAGTTGTGTGGTGATTCCATGAAACTAAATGTGAAAAGCAATGTTTATGGTGACTAAAATAACTTAAAAACCTAAATCTTTTTAGGCAAATAAATATATAAACACAAGATTCCTTTACTTTAAAATGGGACATTGGGAAATTTATTTTCCCATTGTAAGATACAGTTAATCTGACTCCTGAGAGATTCAGCTATATAAAAATATTAAAAACATGAATCTACATTTCCATAAATTGGCCTATATCACCAATCTTGAAGCGTCATCCAAATGACAGATCAAAGTAATCCACTGTACAGCCACACGTTTTCAACGTCTAGCTCCTACTTAGTTTACTGCTAACCTCTCAATATTACTAGCTACATTTTTCAGCAGACAAGTGCCGGCACATCTTTTGCCATCTTAGCCACAGACCATATTATATCTACATAAAGGATCCTTCGTTAAAATATAAGATTAATTCCTCCAACAAGAACTGCTTTCCCCTGTATACATTGTTTCAAAATTCAAGACATTCCTGCAAATAAAAATAATTAAAAATTGTGGATGCATAGATACTGATTTGCTTTTTAAAAATGGACTGATTCATAACAAGTGTTAAACTGGCACACAGATATTAATAACATTTAAGATATCTGAAAAGTTAAATCCAAAGCAGAAAAAAATATTTATGTTAGAACTGTGTGGTTCTGTGGTCCATTTTAATTTGTGAGCTACCAAAATAATCCTTTAAGAAATTTACTATTGTCTTTAAAATTGCATACTGCTATCTATAAGCTTTCGTAAGACTAAAAAATATAAGAGAAATGCATGAAATTGATTTGTCTTCTGTTTCAACCCTTTTTATTTTCAGGAATGTCTTGCATTTTTTAACAATATGTACAGGGAAAAACAGTTCATGTTGGAGGAATTAATCTTATATTTTAATCAAGGGTCTTTTATATGAATAAAATACAACGTAGAAAATTTTTTCAGTTAAAATTACAGTGTTTCAGTTCACATAAACCTGCATGTTAATCCATGATCTGTCACTCACTCACTGAGTGACCCTACAAAAATTGTTTACATTCCATAAGCTTCTATTTTGTCATTAGCTAAATATGATTGACAATAGCAACTTAATGTGACATTTGCAAGGAATAAATGAAGTGATTTATATAAATTATATAGCACATGGAAATAGTAAATGATAAATAAATTACATGAAATAATAAATAAAAGAAAGTTTTGCCATTTTAGAAATCTTCAGAAGAGTTTATGATTTTTAAAAGCCAAGTACCTTACTTGAGATTCAGTTTCTTCCAAAAGAAGCCTAACTGAAGATTTCTTAATGCTCGTTATTTATTTATAGGAGAATTCGCTGAAAGTTTAATGTTAAAAATTTTTTATAGCATGTACAAATGTACATAACTATCTCAGTACACCCAACACATGAACCTATTTATTTCTAAGTCTCATATGACTCCTCATTAGAAACAAAAGAAAATATTACACAGAGTCCTCAGTTTGAACCTCAAAAAAAAACTTTCTCATAACATGCAAAGGCAGAACGAAGAATCTTCCTTCATATTGCCTTTTATAATTTTATTGATCTAGCCATATAAATATCTTTAAAATCAAAACAGTAAACAAGAAAATATATGATTGAATGTGTGATCTCTTAAAAAAATAAAAAGGACCCCTGAGTTCAATTAGGTCAACTTTTGCCAAACTTCATACCCAGAATTACCTGGGAAAGTTTTGCTTTGTTTGCCTTTTAATAGTGATTTCTGCAATATTCTTTATTGGTAATTAACCTGAATGTTGAAATTTTTTCTATAAATGAGGCATGTGTTTGGAAAGATTTATTTATTTTTTTTAAATTTACAACTAACCCTAATAAAGTCAGTTCCTGTTAAGTTTGGTGATACGTGCTTTATACCTTGTTGCACTCTGGCAGAATAGAAATTACTATTATCAAAACCCTCCAGTCATTGTTATTATTGCTCTCCTTTCATTGCATTGTTTTACACGTATCACTTACAAGAATTTCTGCCTGTATCCAGCACAGACATGTAATAAACTCAACACATTTCGTAAAAAATTTTGATCCCAAAAGATACTAGAATTTATTGCATTCCTTTAGTGGATACCATCAAATACTATTTGAATAAACCAGGCCCATCCACCTCTTACCAGGAATTCCTTTACTTTTTACATTTATATTTTTCACATTTAGTTTATTCTTGGTTTCTAAAGACCTCTCAAGCAATATTATAAAAATAGAGAAGGAGTATATTTTACAGAGAATACAATATTTTGGTCTGGAATATATGAAAGAGCTTATGAGTTATAAAACTTAGATCATTGCAAATGCAATTGATGCATTTGTATATGTACAATTTATGATTTACATTAAATTCCAAAGCAAATTTCCAACCTAAAGTGATCAGAAGTTAAGACGTCCAGTAATTTCCCTACTAATGAAAAATAAATGACTAATGAAAACAAAGTATGCATGTTGTGGTTTTTTTAATTTAAAGTGATACATTTCCTTTTATTATTTATTAGTCAGTCAACTAGTGCCATAGTATATAATATATAATCAGTGTTGTATGAATAATAAAATATACTTTATAGCTACATAAACTGACTAAATATTTTGTAAAGTATCTTATAATAACAACCACCAATTATTTTAAAATTTCTCCTACTATACTGATTTTCTTAAGTATTCATAAAATATATCACCACCTCTTCAAATTTTCCTTTTGACTTTATGTAAATCTATTAATAATGTTTATGTTACCAGCTCTACCAATACATAATATCTCCAAATGAGGTAGCATATATAATCTATAGATAGTATTTGGTACAGTGTCTCACTATACAGTTCAGACCCGTAGTGATGCTGCTGTTTTCAGCCTCCCCAGTGCTGGGATTGTAGGTGTGTACCACCAGCTGGGTCTTGGTGGCTGGTTCAGTGGCCCTGAAGACTGAGCTGGCACAGGATGTGGTGCCAGAGATCAAAACTCAGTCCCTGAGCTTGCCTAATTAGGCGTTTAGTTCACTGAGCTATCTTACCGACCCTAGGAAATATATTTAAACTTGTGATTTCATGTATGTTTTTCACAATCTACACTCACTTTTTTTTTTACAATCAAATATGTATTTCATCTTTAAACTGAGAATACTAGGAATACTCTTCAGACTGGGGTGATGTTCAGTAGGTATAGTGTTTCCTAAGAGGAGCCTCTTGCTTTGATCCCCAGCACTAAAATAAGTAATGCTATCATAGTGTTTCTCAATAAAAGCATTAGTATAAAATAGCTCTGACTATGTAAGCAAATCATATATCTCATAATTACTGGCAAAAAATAGCTATTATTCAAATAGCAAAAATGACAATTATATCAGCACTAAAAAACTCAGAATAACTTCATTTATATAAACTTGTACTTAAATGAAGAAAGCCATAAGCCACTCTAACACATTTTTTGTCAGTATATGTTTGTTGTACATAATAATTGCATTCATCTTACAAAAAATGGTGCATACATGAAAATCACATCTTGATCAATCTACTCCTAGTAACAATGATTAAAATGAGGAACAGCACATTGTAAAAAGAACCAGAACACTGTCTAATTGTCTCCTGAGACCTATAACACACTATCTTATGGATTTTGTTCCCATAAGTAGCAGAAATATTTAATGGTTGCTTTAGTTGATTTGAAGAAAGTAAATGGTTATCAAAGCATGCAAGTAGCTTTCTCCCTCGAAGCATGAACTTGTTAGCATGCAGTATGATAGAAATAACAGTGAGACTCTCTTGTCCAGAAAAAAAGAATCGAAAGCATCTACTGCGTCAAAAGATATCTGAAACAATGGGACTCATACATAAAATGCACATGAAGTTCTGAGCAATACAAAAGTTATATTATTGGGTCCTGACATAATGACTCCTTCTAAGGTAGAAAGGAATTACATCTCTTGGCATAGGAATGATGAGCACCTAAATTCCTAATGACATGCAATCAAAATGGCCACTTAAGATGAAATAGAAAATGGTGAGATTGAAGAGAAGTACTCCTAAGAATTAGAGTCAGCCTGACGGAATTTTGTTTTCAGAGATGAGATTATTCTTCTAAAAAGCAACAGAAATATCCACCATCTTCCCTGAATATCTTCCAAACTCTGTAGACAACTTCATCAACCACAGAACAATTTCATCTTTTGGAAGTTTAGGTTTAATTTAAGCTCTTCAGTTTTTAATAAAAAGCAATGGCATTATTATACCGTTTATAGCTGTGGAAATCCTAGGTTAAATTCATTTTTTTTAAAAAACTGATGATACTAAAGAAAAAAATCTTCACTCTCCTGAATTGAAACATGAATTTAATCAGCATTGGCAAATAGGAGAGATTGCTAGACTTCTAATTCTGCCCAATGTGAATAAATAGAAACCAGATTTATTCTTAACTGTCCTGACTAAACAAAAAGTGATTTTTCTCTGTCTCTGTCCCTCCTGTGTGTATAGTTTTCTTGATCTCACACTATCTGGGTCCCATCTCCTCTCCTCTCCCCTCCTTCCCTCATCATCCTT